ATTTGTACTCTGTAGAGCTTCTCCAGCCCAGAGTTCAAATCCCGCTCTCTCCCGTCATCAAGCATGGGTAGTTGAACAACTTACTCTTTGAACTTTGCTTTCCCCTCTGAAATGTGGGCATATCTCCTTGACAGTTATAATTGGCGTGTATATGAGAAAATATATATAAAGTCCTAACACAGTGCCTAGTTCATAGGAAGCATTCAGGAAGCAAAGGCTGCTTTTTTAATTTTTTTTTTTCAATAATGAGCCTCAGTTTCACAATGAGCCCCTTGAATGCCCGTGTTTAGCCTCTTGGGACAGCCCATACATAAAGGCAGCTTCTGGGAGAAGGGTGGGGGTTGGTAATGGTGGACCGCCTGCCGGGCAGGCAGGAAGGCACCTGGCGGCCAGCCTTGGACAGTGTCCAGCTAGTCAGTAGCCCAGGTACCAGCCTGCTCTGTCTCAGGCTTCCCCTGCCTGGGAGAAGGAACTTTGCTTCACCATAAGTCGGTCTGTCAAGCACTGAGAGGAGACACTACTCAGAGCAAAGACCTGGCTCAGGAGTCTTGGTGTCGCTGAAGCAGCCCCAGAAGTGTTCTTGTAAGATGAAGAGGAAGGGTCCTACAGGGAACTTGAGATGACATTAGGCTTGGTAGCAGCCAAGCCCACATCAGGAGTGAGCAGAGGACATCTTTAGCCTACAGGGGCTGTAGTGACACTTCTCAGCCTGTCTAAAGGGTAGTGTCCCGTGCCGCCTTTACATGGCAACCCTAGGTAGAATCACCTATTTCCATCAGGATTATTGAGGAGCAGTGCCAGCTCCAAGCCTGTGCCCCCCAAGTCCATGGGAAAAGAACCCTAGCTGCTTCCCACAGCAAAGCAGAAATGTCCCTGGCCCCTCCCCCCCCCCAAGAGCTCCTCCTCCCTGCCCCTCTTAGTCCCTCATCTCTGGGGCTACTTCCCCTGTGTGGGACAGCAGGACACCAGACTTATTTCCATAAATAAGAGCCCTGGGCTGGACTGGGGAAGGACAGTCTTAGAAAGTGTTCCCTGGCCATCCTGAGGGTCTTCCCACGCTCACAGCCATTGATGCTTGGGCCTGGAGTTGGCAGACCCTTTGAAAGCGGTCGAAACTGCCCTGCTGCTTCTCCTGAGTCCGTCGCCATGGTATCAGCCAGGGAGGGGCTGGGCCCAAAGAGACATTGGTCCCCCAGCCACCCAGCAGACCTCCCTCAAGGGGGTTCAGGGAGTGGCCTTGGGCTGGCTCCCCAGAGACAGCACTAGGATTAAGGTATCGACTTTCCTCGGCTTTCCAGGTGGCCCGTGGGTGGTGACTATTGAATTCCGTGCCCCTCATCCTCTCCCTGGTCTGTGAAGGGTGGGTGTAGATGTTGGCCTGGCTTCTTAGGGTGGGTTAGGATCCTGGGGCAGAGGGTCAAGGGGCAGTCCACTTTAGAAAAGAGAAGGCTCCTTGAGGGTCTGGTCCTCTCTGGAAAGAGTGGCTCAGTCCAGCCCCATTCAGGTCTACTGACTCCAACTACCCTCTGCCACCATTACCTGAGGTTTTATTTTGCCTCTGTCTCCAGTCTCCTGAACCTGTCCTGGTTTTTACTTTGGAAGTTTATGTGGAGGCTGTATGTAGCCTCTGGGCCCATGTTCCCATGAAGGTGACCCCCCCCCCCCCAATGCTGTGGGGTTGGCACAGGTCCTAAGGCCGCTTAGGGTAGAGGGGACACACACACCAAGCCCAGGATAGTACGGAATTTTCCCCCTTAATCTCTTCCCAGAGGCAGAATCCAAGTTCTGGTACCTTGCCCCCCCCCCCCCCCCCCCCGCCTCTACTTGGCTCTAGGCCTGGGAACCAGGGGCCTGCCCCCAGGGGACTCTTGTAAGTTCCACCCAAGCTGGGATGGGCTGACTCAGCAGCTGCGGTGACAGCTCCTGGGGACAGGAAAGGAACGGGCTAGTTTCTCTGAAAGCCTAAAACACTTCCCCTCCTCCGCTTGTGAAAGATGAGACCTAGAACAGTGGTCCTCAGCCTTCCTAATGCTGAGACCCTTTACTACAGTTCCTGGTGTTGTGGCGAGCCTCCAACCATAAAATTATTCTCCATGCTACTTTGTAACTGTAACTTTGCTACTGTTATAAGTCATAGTGTACATATCTGATAAGCAGGATGTCTGATGCATGGCTCTTGTGAAAGGGTTGTTCGATCCCCAAATGGGCCTTGACCCACAGGTTGAGAACCACTGTTCTAGAGCATGGAAAGTCTGTGAGTGCCTCCGGAGAATCCCAGTCACCTACACTACTACCCACAGAGCCATCCGGAGGGCAACGATGATGTCTTACCCCTTAGCCAGGCTCCTCTTAACTCTGATGACAGATATCACTAGAAAGGGGATGCTGAGGTGTGGTAGGGAAAACCCAAAGCACAGACTTGGAATTGGAAGGTGGGCATCACAGGGACACCTAGCCCAGCCCTGCCCAGTACTAGAGAGCCACCTCTCCTGAACCCTCAACCTGGTTCTAGCCACAGTGCCAGCCCGGGCATGCTCACAGCTTCGTCACCCAGGCCAGGCTTTATCCCTTCCACTCAGGCTGGGGCTCTGGCGGCCCGTGGAGCTCCCGGAAGGAAGCCTGTGGTTTCATTAGCTCCCAGACACCTGGCCAGTGTGAGAAGCACCCACACCATCTGCCTATAACTAGGCTTCACTCCTGGCTGTCTAGTTCTGGACCCAACGCTTAAGGACAAGCCCGGTGTGGTGGGAAGAAAGCAAGTTTCCAGTCAGATTGAGTAGGCTCTAACTTCTGTGTTGTAATTTCCCTGTCTCAAAAACAGATAACCAGCTTCAGCCAGGCTTCTGTGGGAAGTCTGGGGAAAGGGAATCCTGGGAGGGGGGGAGGGAGGGAGGGGGGGAGGGAGGGCAAACTGGGATTCCACAAACTGGGGGCCAGAGGAGGTGTGTGGCAAAGGCAGAAAGTGAGCCCTGTCTGTCCTGGTGGCAGCAACTTGTCAGACCTGTTCAGCTCACCTTGGCAGCCTGGGGGAGGGCCTGTGGCAGCTTTGTGCTGGGATTAGCTGGAAGGAAGAGACTCCTCACTCCCGGAACCACTTGTGCTGGGGGGGGGTGCAGGAGGGGCTAGGTCACTGCAGGGTGAGGGGCTGATAGGCAGGGCCCCCTGTGGTACCATCTTTTTTGCTGCTTGGTTGTCTTTGTTGTTTGAGGTGAGGGGTCTCTGGGGTCTGGGCACGTGACCACTAGGATGTGTGTGTATAAGTGTGTGTGTTGTGTGAGGTGCCATGGTCGTAGGACGACCTGTGGGAGACCCTTCTCTCTTTCCACCCGAGTGTCTTGTAGATCAGACTCAGGTTGAGCTTGGCAGCAAGGGCCTTCCCCCAATGAGCAGTCTCTTCAGCCGCCACCCAGAGGGAAGGGTTGGGATCCCAGTGCTGGCCAGGCAGGCTACAAGCCCCAAAAGCCCTCCCTCCACCCCCTCCCTTGCTTGCCCTTTGTACCCCCAGCTGAGGATTTGGGTTTCAGAGCAGCCTGGCCACCACCCTCCCCAACCCAGTATCTCAGAGTTACAGGACTGTTCCTTAGTAGCCAGAACAATGGCAAAGTCCTGGTATGCATGGGGACTTAGCAAGGACAATGGCAACAACATCCAGGCCTGGGCAGGGACTTGGAGTTCCAGAGTATTGCTTTGTGCTATGTCATTGGGCCTCAGCAGCAACCCAGAGAGGCAGGTAGCAATAAAAACAGGAAGACCCCGAGGCCCAGAAATGGAAATAATTCACCCCAAGTCACAAGATAGTAGGAGAGCCTTGTTGCCCCGTAGAGTAGGTGCCAACCCAGGGTTCCAGCCAGTAGTGAACAGGCTGTCCCATGCTTGGACTTGGGGTCAGGGCGGTACTCGGGTAGGGCTTGCAGAGCCTTCAGCTTCTGTAGGCTCCTGTCCGTATTCTGTTCCGTCAGTCTGTGTCATGAGAGCATCCAGGCTGTAGCTTCAGAGTCGAGCCCCCACCCCCAAGAGGATGAAAGATGTTGAAATTGTTCCAGCCAATGTCAGGGTGCACAAAAGACACCTGCTTGTGTTCTTGGGGGAGGGGACGGCGGTGAGGTAGCTCAGTGGGTCAAGGCACTTGCCACGAAGTCTGATGACCTGACCCCCGGTTGTGAAAGAAGAGAACCAGCTCTCACAAGTTGCCCTTTGACCTCACATGTGGGGTGTGCTGTACTCATACTGTCTCTCACACAAAATACATGCTGTTAAAATTAAGAGGCTGGGTGGTGATGGTGCACATAGCACTCAGGAGGCAGAGGCAGGCAGAGCTCAGAGTTCAAGGCCAGCCTGGTCTACAGAGTGAGTTCTAGAACAAGCCAGAGTTACACAGAGAAACCCTGTCTCCAAAACAAAACAGAAAAACAAACCCGAAAGTAACAGGCCCTGCATTCCAGGTCAAGGTCTTTGATGACATTGGTCCAACAGTGCTTTTTATTTATGGTCTCCTCCCCATATGAATCCTTGGGGATTAGTCTCTCCCTCCCTCCCTCCCTCCCTTCCTCCCTCCCTCCCTCCCTCCTCCTCCCTCCTCCCCCTCCCCTGTTGCTCCTAGACCTGTGGATGGCCCCATCTCCCCAGGACACTTCCCCCAGCCACCTACTGGGTTTCAGGTTATCAGGGTCACATTTAGCTGGGCCATTTGGGTCACTGGGGTCAAGAAGGGAGCCCACTAGAGCCAAAAACCTTTACTGTAAATAAGCTGGCCAGCTTTCAGTAAACAGCTATCCTTGCCTTCACAACAGAGAACAGATACAGGGGAAAGGTGCCTGCTCGTGAGCCTCAAGTGCCCAGCCAGGCCTAGGAGGGCCAGATGAGCCTTGGGTGGGGAAGGATAAGACATGTGAGTAGTAGAATAGCCAAGAGGGAACCTAGCCCAGGTGGGGACGGTGGAGTTGGAGAAGGTGGTGTTGGGACATTGTGGAATGACATGGCTGCTTCCTACATCCCCACAGCGAGAGCTCCGGCCTCGGCTCTGCACCATGAAGAAAGGCCCCAATGGCTATGGCTTCAACCTGCACAGCGACAAGTCTAAGCCAGGCCAGTTCATCCGAGCAGTGGACCCAGACTCGCCGGCAGAGGCCTCTGGACTCCGGGCCCAGGACCGCATTGTGGAGGTGATACCCTTTACAATAATACTCTTATACTCTCCCAGGCTCTTCCTTCCTGTTCTTTGCTGCTTTGGGGCAGCCTTCTACCATCTGTGGTTTGATTAACCCATGGGATATGGGCAACCCAGAGATGCTAGGTGTGGGCCGCTGCACGGGTAGAGTGGAGGATCGGGGAGGATGATAAGTGGTAGGTGGGCGCTTTGACAGGCTGAGTGGTTCTGCTTTAGCAAATATGCGCTCTACACCCAGGATTTACCTGCCAAAATCCAGGTAAATGACAGAAGTCACCTGCATGGCCTTCCTGATGCCTGAGCACTCTGCCAGGTACGAGGATGGACCCAGTGCCCTCTCCTGAGGTCAGCTTTGAGACACTGTTCTTCGGCTGTGCTCACAGCAGAGGAAATGTGAACTAAATGCTTGGGCTGCTCCCAGAATCACAGTGTGAGAACCTTAGAGCCACAGATTCAGCTCTTCCAAGGCTTCTCACTTTACACATGAGAAAACCAAGGCCCAGAGAGGAAGGTCGGAGGAGAGCCCAGCCCAGGCTCCTGAGCCTCCCCTTATTCACAGCTGTGTTTGCATAGACTCCTCTGGGGATTTTCTTTGGCTCTTCCCATTTGTCTTGCTTCCCAGCTGACTGTCAGAGAGCCAGAGAGCCGCTGGCTGGCTGGGGACTAAGCACTTGAGGGGATACGGCATCAGTCCCAGGTGGGGCTTCCCCTACACGCCCTTCCTCAGCACCTAGACCTGTGTGGGTAACCCCCGTCCCGGCCCTGCCTCACAGGTCAATGGTGTCTGCATGGAGGGCAAGCAGCATGGGGACGTGGTGTCTGCCATCAAGGCTGGAGGGGATGAGGCCAAGCTGCTGGTGGTGGACAAGGAGACGGATGAGTTCTTCAAGAAGTGCAAAGTCATCCCGTCACAGGAACACCTGGATGGTGAGTGCACAGCTGGGTGCCTAAGACTTGGCCATAAATGGTGGGTGGGGGGGTGGGGTTCTTGGATTGTCAGGAGAGACCCACCAGCATGGGTTGGTGGAGAGTAGAAGCAAGGTTGGACCATGAGTGTCTAAAGGTGGCAGTTGACAGTAATTAACTGTCACGAAGGAAGGGGGAGATTTCTGGTCAGTACCAAGGCATGGCCTGGGCCTCACCCTAGTCCAGTGAGTCCCCATACGATCCCTCTGAGAGGAAAGAGTTAACTGCGGGGCAGATCAGAGCCCAGTGACTCGGGGCCCAGTGCTCCCCTCCCCCTCTGTCAAGTTGCCTTGGAAACTCAGGCTTGCTGGCTCTGGAGAGTAGTGGGTCCCCTTCAGTCCCTGGGCCCCTGCCCTCCCCCCATCCCCCACTCTCATCTTGCCAAGCCTGGCACCTCCTCCTGTCCAAGCCAAGCCAGAGTGAGTAGGGCCACCCCGCCAGGCGGGAGGGAGGGGCTGCGTACTCTATTGCTCAGTTCAGACTTTCTGCCTGGGAAGATGGCTCTGGAAGTGTGGTCTGCTGTGCTGTGCTGAAAGTGAAACCTCTCTGGACTCTGCGATGGGTGGGGCCTCCAGGGTCCACATGGCTCAGCTCTCCAAGAGGCGGGACACAGTGGGGAGGGTTCACATGTACCATAAGCTAATATACACAAGCACCTCAGCCGGCTTCACAAGTCTCTGGGGGTGGGTGGGCCTGGCTTTCTCTCACACTGGCCTCTCCTGACTGCTCATTACCTGCCTCTGAATCTTCTTGTCCCCCCATTTCCAGGTGCCAGATAGTTGCCATTGTTTTCTCTCCAGGTGCCAGCTAAGTAACCTGAGGTGTGGCCCTAACCCTGTGGTCAGCCCCTGAGATGTGTGAATACCAAGGCCGGGCCCAGCCCTGCCCTAGGGTGTATGTGGGTGGGGGTCGGAGGACAGCTTGGAGGAGTCAGTTCTCACCTACAGACTGGGTCCTGGGAATCCAACTCAGGTCATCAGGCCATCACAGAGCCATCTCTCTGGCCACAGCTGACCTGTTTTTGACTGGCTACCCTAGAACTCCATCCCACCTTAATTCTCCTGCAAGCCTGGCATCTTGACACTCTGGGTTAGGTGTCAAGCTAGGTCCAGAAAGGTAGCTCAGTGGTAGAGCACTGAGTAGTATATGGAGGGAGGGCTGTGTGTTTGGCTCCGCGGCACTGCACCAAATATTACTGTGTTATAGGGAGCTGTCTTGTCCATCACAGGTCTCCAGTCAGCATCAAGTAGCCATCCTCAAGTATGACCCTCCCACACATACACCCAAAGAAAGCTCCCCCAGTTTGCCAAATGAGACGTTACAAGAATAAGTTGTAATTGAAAATACCCAAGTATTGCACTGTAATGGGGTCTTGTTTTCTGAAATTGCCAAACAATCTTTCTGGGCACTGGGTCATCAAAATGTCAAATTACATACGGTGGCTTGCAGCCAAAAACGCTGTAACCTTTGACCTCCAGTATGAGGTCTGGTGAGATGCCCAGGGCATAGCTCTGGCCTCCTCTGCTCTCCTCCCCCAGAGTCTCCGGACTGACCTTTGCTGTCTTCCTTATCTAGGCCCCTTGCCTGAGCCCTTCACCAACGGAGAGATACAGAAGGTAAGGGGGTCCCCTACCCGCTTCTCTGTGAGGCCAGGGAAGTAGTAGCGTGGTTGGGAGCCTGGCCCAGGCTGATACAGTTCCAGTTTCTCTTCCTGAGCTCCGAGCTATAGGACCTCTAGAGTCCCCCGGCCCCTGTCAGGGGTAAGGCTGTCACTTGGGAAAGGCTTGCCTGGGGCCCCTCAGCAGCCCCCGCCTCCAACTCCCACCATACAGAAGAGGCCATTCTTCCCCCCAAGAACAGTGCCTCAGTGTCTGCCTGTTGGTCCTGCTACTTCCAGTCTGAGTTGGAAGAACAAAGTCCCTCCCCTTGAGCAGAAGGGAAGGGGGTGAGGCTGGGAGCCAGCCAAGGCCATGGAAGGACCCAGGAAGGGGCTGAGTGCCAGACTCACACCCAGCCAAAACCTCTACTCTGGCATGGGCTGTCTCAGAATCAGACCACAGAGCCTGGAGTTGGCAAGATCTGTTTGAAGGCTTCCTTCCTCTACAGGGACCTAGTGGAGGCAAGAATCAGGCCATGGTCCTCACCCCTCCTCTGTTCCAGAACTTTCTATCGTCTTATTCCCTAAAGACCCTGGTTGGCTACTGTGGGGTTAAGGCCGGAGAGGGCTGCAAGAGGTTAAGGGTCCATATATGCTCTTCGGGCCAAACAGGAGGACCTTGGTGGTCCTGTGCTCCAAGTAGCCCCTCTTGAGTCACTGATCCAAAAAAGTGAGTCAGCGCTCAGAAGTGTTGGGGAGGATGAAAGATTCCTTAGTTCCCACCCCCTGCCCAGGTGATGGATGGAACCGGGCTGCCCTGATCCTTTTAGGAATGCAGTAATGTAAATCTGGAATTTGGATGGATGGCCAAGCCTGGGCGAGGACCCTTCTTCTCTAATGAGATCTCCAGCCTCTCTCGGGGTTTCCTTTGCCATCTGCTGCCAACCCATACTCTTTCCCTCTCTGTGCCAGGAGAGCAGCCGTGAAGCCCTGGCAGAGGCAGCCTCAGAGAGCCCCAGGCCAGCCCTGGCAAGATCTGCCTCCAGCGATACCAGTGAGGAGGTAGGCATGGCCCGTGGGGGCTGGTGGCTGAGTTACGGGAAGCCATGTCCAGGCCACTCTGGTTCCTGGCACACTAGCCTGCCTTCGAGGTCACATGGGGAGGTGCAGTTTGTTCTTGTGACCTGGCTACCTTGGCCATGGCCCCAAGGGATCTACCACTCTGAGGCCATTGACCGGGGAGCCCTTAGGGGCAGACGCTGACTCTTTCCTCCTCTTCACAGCTAAATTCCCAAGACAGCCCCAAGCGACAGGCATCCACAGAGCCCTCATCTACCTCCTCCTCCTCCGACCCCATCTTGGACTTCAACATCTCCTTGGCTGTGGCTAAAGAGAGGGCCCACCAGAAGCGCAGTAGCAAGCGGGCTCCGCAGATGGACTGGAGCAAGAAAAATGAACTGTTCAGCAACCTCTGAACACCCGGCCACCCAACCTAGCTGCCCCTCCTCCCCAATAGCCCGTCAATCAACATTCAAATCAGCATATCCCTACCCACGCACACTTCCTGATGAATCTGATTTTCCTAGGAATTCTTGCCCACCTTAGAAAAAGGGGAAGGTTTCTGTCCTGTCCCCTTACTCCTCCCTGAGAACTTCATTCTACCAGGTGTCCCCTCACCGGTCTGCCTAGGACATCACCGGGACCAGCACCAAGCATGGACCTTTGGACCAGACAAGAAGTCCTCTCTCGACTACATGTGACAACCGAGTCCAGGGCTGATCAGGGTCTGACGGTTGCAGCCATTGCTCATAAGGGCCAAGGTGCCTGCCTTCTGAGGTCCTCAAAGCTATGGCTTGGCCTTCTTCGGTCCATTTGAGCATTTAATTTTTTTTTTTAAGAGTGTAGTATTACAGAGTTTAGAGGGGCTCTTCTTTTAATGATTCTTATGATTTTCCTGGTTGTTTGTACCCAGAGCATGACAACAGCCTCATCCTTAAATTTTTGTTTCTACTCACTCTGAATAACCTGGGCAGCACGGGGAAGCCCTGGCTGCCTCTGCCTGTCCTGAGCCAGGTGCCATCACTGTAAGGACATGCCTTCAGAAATCCACTGGTTCCTTTACACTGCTTGAGCCTGTGTGTCTTCCTTCGGAGCTTTGCCTCATACCTTCAGGTCTAAGAGAGTGGGCAGTGAGCAATACTTCCAGGAAGCTGGCCTTTGGTTGAGAAGTGGGGTACTCCTGGAGGACCATCTAGGGCTCCCTGAGACTCTTAAGCAGGAGTGGCTTTGCATGCAGCTACGCAAAAGCCCACAAGGCTGTCCAGTTCTGTCTGCTCAGCTCCATGTCAGTGCATGGGACAATAGGGATGTTTATGGGGACCGTGGGAAGAGGGGAGCTGATCCATACGCTGAGAGGGCTCTGAGGCTCCTAGATGTGCTACCCGTGAAGGCTTACTACTGTAGAGCTGGGTTCAGATGTGAGGATGACTACCCCCTCCCCCCTGTGGTGCCCTTACCCCTTATGTCCCCCCTAAAGGGGTACAGGATTCTCAGCAGTCCGAGCTGCAGACACCCTCCCTTATCTGCCCAACGGCGTGATTGGAAGGCAGGTAACCAGCACAGGGGGAAAAGGGGTCCATTTAGCTGCAGGGCACATGGTGTGGCAAGGTGGATGGAAGGGACTTTGCAAAGGGGAATGTACTGCCTCTCTGCCAGGAGGCCCTTGAATACCCAGACTGCTGGGCCAGGTCCCAGGACAGGTGTCCAAAAAAGGGGAGCGCGGCCCCAGCTGCTTCCATGCACTGATTCTACAGAAAGACCGCTCAGAGCCAGGCTGCCAGGCTGCAAGGACCAAATGAAGAAGACAGTGGCTCTGGGCGAGAAGTTCTGGAGCCCTCTGGGTTGGGAGAAGGGCCATTCACTATCTGGCCATCTCAGCATTACGGTCTGGATTTCAGCAGCCAGAGCCCTTATCACAGCACCCTATCATCTTGTTTGTGCCTGCTCAGCTGGGCCTGGCCTCCCTCATCCACCCACTCTTCTGCCCTTTGACCTCAGGTGGAGGCCCCCAGGCTGGTGTAGCAGGCCTGAGCATTGCCTCACAGGGCTTGAAGGAGCTCCTCCCTACCTCACCGGCTGGGTGGAGAAGCTGTGGGGACCTTTGGCTCTAAGCTGGACAGGAACTCCTGGCTTAGGTCTGGAGCAGAGTCCACAAGGAGCAGATGACAGGCTTCGCCTCAAATTCGGGCATTTTGGATAGCAGTCTTTCCCCTTGCAATCTCGGTTAGGTGCCAAGATCAGGGGCTGGAGGTCTTGGCAATACTTACACAGAGCCCTCTCTCACAAATGCACGTATAGCCTCTGAGTTGTTTTGAAAATATGTCTGGCCTTCCTTGGTGACTACTTCAGATAACAGGGTATAGGGGCAGTTAGAAGTCAGAAGCATGGGGGAGGGCACAATGTGACACCCTCCTGCAGACCCTGGAGAACTTTGCCAGCAGCCCGGCCATCCCAAACCTGCGCCTCTGCTGCCCCCTAATGGCCACGTTGGGTGCAGTGGCCTTTGGTTCTGAGATGTAGCAGGCTCCAGGCTTCTCTGACAGAGTTGCTCTCCGATACAAGGAGCTGTGTTCAGTTCTTCCCTCAGACCTGTCTGGCTCCGAAGAGCTGAAGGCAGGACCAAGGCCAGCAGACAGAGGAGCGGGCCCCTCCTTCACAGGTCACCTACCCTGCCAGCTGACAACAGGGTTGAGCTACCTTGGCCCCAGCCTTTGCGGCGAGGAGGATGAATGGAGGAACCAGGAAAGGTGCCTAACCCAGTGTTTTACTCCACTGGGGCCCCAGGAAAGGCTGGCTTTCCGGCTCCCAGTTCCCACTTCCACCCCACCTTTGGTGAACTCCAGCCACATAACTAACTGTGCAGTGCAGCCAGAGTCAGCTTGTGGCTGGGAACAGGAAGAAGTCTTCCTGGCCGCTGTCAGCCAGAGGCCGCCAAGGCCGGCCTAGGAGGGCCTGGAGCAGCCTGAAGACACCACATTAATCTCCGGTGCAGTTGTCTGGCCTCGGGAGTGGGTAGTTCCAGTTCTGCTCACACAGGGTGCCTGTCACAGGCTCCGCCAGCCCGACTCTGTAGGGCTTCTCCTCCATGTGGCTGGTCTGCTCCAGAAGCCACTGCCGTTCTGCCTCACTCACTGCCAGTCTGAGTGTCACCTCCTGGAAGACGTTGCTCACAGCCACCTGTAGGAGCCAGGAGGGCAGGGCTACTCTTAGAGTGAGTTCTAACACCAGCTCTACTTCCCTAGGCCTCCCCACTGGATGCCCTTACCTGCTTAAAATGAAGTTTCTGGAACATCCGGATGCTTGGCTCATTTTCTTGGCCAATTTTGGCCTCAAACTTGGTCAGACCTAGCTTCGTCACTCCTCGAGTTATCCGGGAGGGGGGAAATAAATAGGATGGAAACCTCCACTCTTCTAGCCCTCCTGTCCCCGTCCACCATCTGCCTCCTCCCTCATGCCTGAAGAAGGCTCAGCTAAGGCCCGCCCACTTGTTGTCAACCCTGTCTTACCATAGGACATCATCAGAAGAGACGCCTCGGTGCCAAGGCCCTGGCCTCTGCAGCTGGGCTCTAGGACAAAGGACACAGCTGGTACCAGGGAACCAGGCTCCAGTATACCTGACAGGCACTGGGTCACTGGTCTGCCCACGGAGAGGAAAGGCACAGGCAGGGGAGAAGGCATGAGGTCCCAGCAGTCTGCAACCCCTGCTCCCTTCACCGGGGAGCTCTTGGGAGAAGTGAAGGACCAAAGCACAGCAGCTTCTAACCGCTTTTTAGAGGCCCCCCTCCAAGCTTGGAAGACTAGAAACTCAAGGGTTAAGGGATGGGAAGACCAGAGTTAATCCCCAGAACCCATGTAAAAGGGCCAGGTGTGCTGGCATGCATTTTGAAGCCCAGTACTGGGGAGGCACAGCCAGCCGGTCTAGCCTACTTGGCAAGCTCCGGGCTGATGAGAAACTTTGTCTCAAAAAGAAAACCTAAAAAGATGGCATGTGAGGAAGAAAAGCAAGCGTGTGTGCCCACACCCACACCCAGAGGTCACACCAAGGCATATGGAAGTTAGTATGAACCCGAGGGTTAATCGCTATACTGGGTATGAGATGAGAGAGGAAGCTGCCACAGTCAAGTGTTAGCTGCCCACGGCTGACTGAGCTACCCCTGGGAGCCTACTAAGCTCTGGGAAGTTCGGGCCGGGCCAGGTAGGACAAACCTGCAATCATGACCTCGATCTCCCCCAAGGTGGGGTCTTCCAGATCTGTGAGGAAGAGGTTCACATCCCCTACCATGCAGCTCTCTTCAGGGGGGCGAGGCTGGGCCTGCCACTTGGCTGCATCCAGCACAATGAAGGTGCACTCTGCGGGAGGGGGTAACAGTTAGAGCCTGCAGTCTTCAAAGGGAGGAGGTGGGCATGGTGTTCCCACCCAAGCCGGGGAACAGCAGGGGAACAGCCTGGTACAGAGTTCCAAGTCCACCCTTGAGCTGAAGCGGGAGACAGCCTTCTCCAAGGGGCGTCTGGACTCAAAGGGGCAAGGGATACAAAGGGTCGGGCTCGGTAAGGGACTCGGCTATGGCAAGGGACACGAGATCAGGGCCTAGATTAACAGCTGGAAATAAAACTGCTTTATTCTCTCTAAATCCCTCCAAGCCGGGTGTCCGCTCAGGAGACAGGACAGTGCGGTCAGCCACAGGGACCTGTGCTCAAGTACTTGTGCTCAAGTACAAGCAACCGCCAAAGTTTTCGCAGTGTAGAGACCCTGAGGGGGGCAGTATCGGGAGGCGAGAAAGGAAGGAGAGTGGCGGGGAGGGGGGGCTGGAAGGGGGTGGGGGCTGGAGGGGGGCCTGGAGGGGAGGGGCGGGGAGGGGGGCTGGAGGGGGGGCTGGAGGGGGGGCTGGAGGGGAGGGGGGGACTGGAGGGGGGGCTGGAGGGAGGGGCTGGAGGGGGGCTGGAGGGGAGGGGCGGCTGGAGGGGAGTGGGGGCTGGAGGGGAGTGGGGGCTGGAGGGAGGGGCTGGAGAGGGGGGCTGGAGGGGAGGGGCTGGAGAGGGGGGCTGGAGGGGAGGGGCTGGAGGGGGGGCTGGAGGGGGCTCCTCACTGTCTTCGTCTTCACACCAGCTACACTGCATCTCATACTCCTGCTCTAGGGTCAGCAGCTCTGAGGCTGTCAGGTGCCGAAGTTCCTCTGACATCATCCATTCGTGGTACCTGGCCGTAGGGGTGGGGGGGGGGTGCAACAAAGACTTGGTGTTAGATGAGTGGTAATGTTAGATGGGGGGTAAACCCATCCAACCCATCCAACAGGGTGGGTTTCACTGGGTGTGGAGGGACAGGGCTGGATGCCCAGCACCTGGGAGGAGGAGGCAGGAGGATCAGGAGTTGGAGGCCAGCCTGGACTACAGGAGACCCTCTCTGGAGAGGATGAGTGTGCGAGCTTCGCTAAAGAGAGAAACTCGCGTCAGTCTGTCAGCACCACACTTCCAAATAGCTATGGAGCGTAAAGTACAGACAGACAAAAAATACCAACACAAAGTATAGGCATGTAAGTCAGGGAATGTGGGCCCCATAGTACTGACAGAAGACTCACGCAGGAGGATGTGGTCGGCCAGAAGAGGCAGGGCCTTTCCCCAAGCAGCAGCAGGGAGGAGCAGCCCGATGTGCCCAGCTTCCCACCCAGCCAGTGCAAAGCCAAACATTCCTCCAATTCCTGAGGATAAGGATATGCCAAGCCAACCTCAGCAAAGAGGACTGGGCAGATACCCACAAGGCAGGGACCTCTCCGAATCAAAACTATTGGTAGAGGATACACCCCCCCACCCTCTATGAAGCCGGTTTCACGGTTTACTAATGAACCCCACAAAGAAGAGTGTCTGCGACTCACTTCTGGACTTTTAAACAGTAGGCGTCAAAATAACGTGACATTCAACATCTGAGACAGGCACACAATACCAGGGAATGCCATCAATAAGTAACTCAGAACGAGGGAAGGAGACCCCTCTTTATTCTTTGCTTCACACATCTAGATGATGTAATTCCTAACTGAAAAGCCAACAAGGAGGCTGAGAAGGGAAAGGAAAAAAATGGGAAATGAGTTCTCTACTTCAGCGTTCTTCTGTATGTAACTGTTTTCCCCTCGGAGACACCGACCATCTCACTATGAAATCCTAGCTGGCCTCAGTCTCTCGGATCCACCTGCCTCTGCCTCTTGGGTGTTGTGCTGGGATCAAAACCCCACAGTGCCGCACAATAAACAAACAAAACTGAGATTAGAAAAGAGAAAAAGGCCTTTTCACTGCGCCCATTTACACACACACACACACACACACACACACACACACACACACACACACGGCTACAACTGCTCCCAGCCAGGTGAACAGTTACCTAGGTACATGGTCGGAGGTGTAGGGTACCAGGGCCACCTTCTTGCCCAGCAGCACGGTGTTCTCATTCAGTCTCATTGCAGCTGCCTACAAGCGGGAGAGTTAAAGACTTCAGAGCCCCAAGTGTTTTACCACGTAGGGTGGGGCTATATTATCAAAGAACAAATTTTCTACAGAAAAAAAAAAAAGGGACCGAAATGGTCAACAATGCTCGATTATTCTATCTCAATATTAGCTGCGGTTTCAATTCCGGAAAACCCAGATCTATCAAACCCGAGAGCCCCATAACCAGGATTCATAGGCGACCCTAGAATGACTGGTTGACCCCTCTTTAAACCTGTTTCCAACCTTCCCTCCAGCGTCCACGCCACCCGGCTCTGGCCCGCTCCTTTTCTGGTCCCCAAGCCCCACTCGAAGTTCCCAGGCCTCCGCCCTTTGCGTGGCTCCACACTTGTTCCTCGACCCTCTACCGGCCTTAGTCTGCAAACTGCCAGGCTCACGCCCATCCCCCGCCGAGAAAGGCGTCCCCAACAACAGGCGTCAGCGCCTCTCCCCGGGAACCAGGCTTTCCGCATGCGCGTGGGCGCGCACCCTCCACTTCCGCCACGCAGACGGCAGCCGCCGGGCCCAATCCCGGCCACGCCCCCGGGAGGCGCCCAATCAGAACCCTGTGCCCCTCCAGACGCGCTCTCCTGGGAGGTGGGCTGGGAAGCTTGCGCATGCGCGCAGCGGGCCCTAGTGCGGGACAGCTGGCGCCGGGTGGCAGCAGCAGAACTGGAGGCGGTGGCCACCGGGGCCAGGAGCTAGCCGTGCTGCAGGTCTGGGACGGGCGGGAGGGAGCATACGGTGGAGATTGATGTGAAGTTTGGTGTCTCGCCAGGAGGGAGGAGAGGGTGAGGCTCAGAGCTGGGCTCTTAAGAAGGGAGTCTTAAGGGTGGGGAACCCTAAGGTAGGGCAGAAGTCAGGTGAGGGAGCGGGGACCCCCACTTAAAAGAAGCTTTCGGGCAAGGAGTTAGGATGGAGGGGCGACCCATGAAAATCTCTGCGGTGGGCGGAGGAAAACCCTGGCTCGCTCTCTGCTGTGGGCGGAGAGCAGACAGTTGTGCGAGCTGCCCTGTATGGTAGTGAGCTCACAGATACTGGAATGAAATTGACACGCGCACCTAAGGTTAGAGGGGGCTGTGATGGTGAGTGAGGCTTAGTGGCTTCGGAGGCCACTCAGTCACTTGGAGTGTGAGCAGCATCCAGGCCGAGGGAAGTGCCTTGCATAGCAAGAGTAAAGTTAGCTACATCCCACCCAGACTGTCTCATGACAGATACCGAGCCCAGGTGTCTGAGATAAAAGGGCTAGAGGTGAAAGAGGCAGACCGCAAGTCTCCCCATCCCCATCTCTGTCCATCAGAAAACTGAGCTCTACCCTTTCGTCTTAGGAGCCGCAGCACACACAGAAGCAGCCTCTGCGGCCAGCCCTTCTCAGTCTGCGGAGATGGCAGGTGAAATCACAGAAACCGGGGAGCTCTATTCTCCTTATGTGAGTTTCCCTCCGTGAACGCGCTCTGCTCACCGTCCTGCGCCTGGTGTCTAGAGCCCACTGTCATCGGTGGGCCATGCTAGTGACTGCCCTGGTTTAAGTAGACCCTCATGAAAGACGAGACAGAAACTTGCTAGGCTGAACTCAGGGTTCAGGCTCGGATTATCAATATCAGGCTCTCTGGGGTGTCGCATGCCTTTAATCCAGTACTTGGGAGGCAGAGGCAGGTGGAACTCTGAGTTCCAGCCTGGTCTACAGAGTGAGTACCAGGACAGGCTCCAAAGCTACAGGGAAACCCTGTCTCAAAAAACAAAACAAAAATTCAGGCTCTTTCCCCTTTTGTTTAGTTATTATTTTTAGAAGATTTTATTTTTAATGAGTCGTATGTGTGTGGATATATGCATGCCTGCCAAGTCCAGAAGGGGACACCAGATGTCCTGGAGCTGGAGGTACATACAGGTAGGTGGTTGTGCGCTGCCCAGTGTGGGTGCTGGGATTTGAACTCAAGTTCTTTGCAGGAGCAGCAGGTGTTCTTTTATTATTATTATTATTATTTTAATTTTAAGACAGTCTTTTCTCATTTTACATACCAATCTTAGTTCCCACTTCCTCCCCTTTTCCTGCTTCCCCCCACCTTCCCCTCAGCCCACCCCCCCCACTCACTCCCATGTGGGGTCAACGAAGTTGGGCACATCACTTTGAGGCAGGACCAAGCCCCCCCCCCCCACCCCCGCATGTCTAGGCTGAGCAAGGTGTCCCTTGAGAGAGAATGGGCTCCAAAACGCCAGCCAGTTCAGGCACTAGGGTAAGTCCTGCTCACACTGTAGCCGGTGTTCCAGTTCTCGCCCCCCTTTTAGATGCCGACCAGACAGTGTCAAGCCAAACATAACCAACTTGTTAATCTCCCGTAATATCTGTCTCAGGACTTGTACCGATTGTGCACAATCGTGCCATTCAGATGGGCAGTCAGGCACTGACAACTGTTGTCTTAGAGTTTTGCCCACCTCAGCAGTCTGCAACCTCTTTCGTCTTTAGCTGAATTTTACATTTCGCAACTTTTATGGTCTTGGATGTTGAAAGAGGCGGTGAACTGCAGAGACTCCCATTTGCAGTTTGGTAGAGGCTGCAATTATGACAATTAGAGCAATTGATCTCTCCCTGCCTTGAATCTGTGACCCCTCACTCCCCACACACTCAGCTTATCTTCTCTGTGTAATAGCCAGTTGTCTGTGGTTACTACAGCACGGGGCCTTAACGGGATATGTAACTGGAGACGATCGTGTGAATAACCAGGATTGACTCACACTGCTACCGGCTATCACAATGGAAAGTGGCTCTTCTCCACAGAGACTTCTTTTCTAGAATTTTCCCAGCTTCAACAGCTGCTCTGCGGTTCTCACACAAGCCCCCCCCCCCACCTCCGTAGCCCACCGGGGAAGGTCTCTCTCAAATGCTTGAATGGAAGGGACAGTGACCCTCCTGTTTGTACAGTCATGTGATTCTTGCTAGTCTCCTCTGTCAGCAGTAAGATGTCCACACTAACCCTAAGAGTTGACACGGTTCCTGCTTCTTCTTACAATAACTACAAACTGAGAGACAAGGAAATGAGTCACTGCTGCGACAGTTTTAGAAGGAGAGCAGTTTATGTCCCTATTTTTTGTGCTTCCACGACACGGGCCCCATGTGTCTGCGGGAACACGGGCAGCTGGGCCTGCGTGCCACGGGAGCACTGTCCCCCAGCTCCCTCTTCTCTCTTGCATTTTATATGTGCTTTATTCTGTCCGGGGCCATCGCAGTTGCCACAAACAAGTGCTGGGTTTGTTTGTTTGTTTTGGCTTTTTAAAATCTTAATAGTAAAGAGAGATTTGGGGGAAAGATGGGCAATGGCGGCGATGGATAGTGTTAACCAGGAGGTGGAGGTCATGTTTGTGAGAAAACCTTCTACCGATGGCTCTTCGTTTTTCTTTTAAAAATTGTTTTTTATGTGTATGAATATTTGGGCTGCATGTATAGATCGCATGTACGTAGTGCCCACAAAGTCCAGAAGAAGGCGCCAGACACTACCACGCCCATCCACAGGACTGGAACAATACCTGGTTTTAAGCCATTGTGTGAGTGCCATGAATTGAACTAGGGTCCTCCATGAGAGCAACAAGTGCTCTTTATCACCGAGCACCGAGCCATCTCTCCAGCTCCTACGAGTCTTTATTTTTTTAAAGATTTATTTATTTATTACAGTGCTGCATGTCTGCCTGCATGACAAAGAAGGCACCAGATCTCATTACAAACGGTTGTGAGCCACCATGTGGTTGCTGGGGATTAAACTCTGGACCTCTGGAAGACCAGCCAGTTTTCTTAACCTCTGAGCCATCTCTCCAGCCCTGTGTCTTTTTGATTGTTTGTTTTAGGTTTTTGTTTTTTTTTTTTTTTTAAGAATTTTGTACACTATGTTTTGAACATATTGACCTCCTCCTCCAGCTCCCCCAGATCCATCCCCCTTCCCTACCCACTCAACTTTGTGTCCTTTATATACATACGTATAAATTTTATTTAAATTAGAAACAATCTTTTATTACATATCAATCCCAGTTCCCTCTCCCTCCCATCCTCCTATGCCCCCCACCAATCCCTTATTCACTCCCCAGGGAGTGTGAGGCCTTCCATGAGGGATCATCAAAGTCTGTCAAGGCATTTGGGGCAGGGCCTAGGTTTCTAGGCTAGGAGAGTATCCCTCCATGGGGAGTGGGCTCCCAAAGTCCGTTCCTGCACTAGGGATAAAACAAAACAAAAATCCATCAAGTTCAGTTTGTGTTACCAATATATTCTGGGACATGTGGCCTCCTATTGGAGCGTGGGTTACTTACCAGGGGCTACTGATTATCTCAGCAGCTTTCAGTTGCCAATGGCTGCTTGACTTCACACCCTCCTTCCCTTGGAGCTGGGATTTCATCAAATTTGAGCTTTCACGGGTCCTGTGCAAGCTGTCTTGACCCCTGTGAATTCAGGGCTGTTTCCCTGTAATCGCTCACAGCCTCTGGTTCTTATGTCTTCATCCACCACCCTAGTATAAGGATGAGTCTGTGTGGTGTGTGTGTTGGTTAGTTGGCTTTTGTTTTTAAATTTTATGTTTTGGAGTATTTTGCCTGCACTGTGCCTGGTGCCCACAGAGGCCAGAAGAGGCCATGAGATCCCCTAGAACTAGACTCACAGATGGTTGTTAGCTGCCATGTGGGAGGTGGGACCTGAACCTGGATCCTCAGAAAGAGCAATCAGTGGTCTTACCCACTAAACCATGTCTCCAGTTGCACACCACCACCCCTGCTGCTGCCATCGCCCTCCCTCTCTCTCCCTTCCCACTCCCTTCTTCCCAGTCTCTTTGGACTTTCTCTCTCTCTCTTTCTTGTTTTTCAATACAGATTTTCTCTGTGTAACAGCCCTAGCTGTCCTACAGAACTCGCTCTGTAGACCAGGCTGGCCTCAAACTCACAAAGATCTGCCTGCCTCTCTGAGTGCTGGGATTAAAGGAGTGTGCCACCACAGCCTGGCAGAATTATTCTTAGTTTAAAACCCTGTTGTGTGTGTAGATGAGTGCAGGTACCCATGTCGGCAAGAAGTGAATTATAGATGCCTGTGAGCTGCCTGGCATGGGTGCGGAACGGAACTCTGGCTCTCTGCTGCAGGAGTAGGTGCTCTTAGGCTGCACTTCCCTAGTTCAGCTAGGCCTGCTGGACAGCAAGCTCCGAGGGTGCTCCTGTGTCCCTAGTGCTGGGATAACGAGTACATGTTCCCATTCCTAGGTTTCAGTGTTTGTTATTTTGAGACAGAGTCTAACTACGCAGTGGCTGTCCTGGAACTCACTATTTAGACCAGGCTGTCTCACACTCATAGGGATCTACTCGCCCCTTCTCTGGCCCGGCTGAATCCCAGGTTTTTATTTGCATACTCAGCATTAAACTCAAGACCCTGTGTTTGCCCGGCAAGCGCTTTACTGACTCAGCCATCTCCCCAGCCCTACAGGCTCACACCATGACTGCCTTCTGAGTCCTTTGACTGCCACCAGAGGGGCTCTTCGGGAGATGAGCTTGGCGTAGGTGTCTTCTGGGTGGAGGAGAGGCAGATTGAACTCTGCACTTGGGTATGGGGCTGCCTGTCAGAATTCAGCCACAGTGGAGTCGGGTGAGCCTGCCTTTGTAAGGTTCTCCAAAGAGAACACAGCAGGGTCTTACTCTCTGCCACCCCTCCAAGGTCCCCACCGTCATGTGACCTCTTTTTCCCTTAGCACAGCTCCTCTTGACCTGGCCTGTGGCTGAGTTGAGGACAGCTTCCTTTTGCCTGTTTCTCATGACTGGTGTTCATCGAAATCCTTCCTGAAAGTAAAGAGGATTTAATATGTTACCAGACTGCTGAAGCCCACAGAGGGCAAAGGAATCCTGCCCCCTGAGCTCCCAACGGACTCACAGTGTTTACTCTGGACCTAAAAATCCCTCCCGTACTAACAGGACAGCTTCTGTTTGTTTCCTAGTTTATTCTTTTAATTAAAAATATCATGTATTTTCCCTGAATGTATGTATATAAGTCTTTCATATGATGGTGGCTTTTACAGAAGCCAGAAAAGGGTACTATATCCCCCAGAACTGAATTTATAGGTGGTTGTGAGCCACCATGTGGTGCTGGGAATCGAACCCATGTCATCTGGAAGAGCAGCCTTTGCTGTTAACTACTGAGCCATGTCTCCTACCCTACAAATGCTTGCTTGTTTTTGTTTGTTTGTTTGTTTTTGTTTTTGTTTTGTCTTTCAAGACAGGGTATCTCTGTGTAGCCCTGGATATCCTGGAACTCGCTCTGGCCTCAAACACAGAGATCCACCTGCCTCTGTCTCTCAAGTGCTGGGATTAAAAGAGCCAAGCTTCTACAAATCAAATGCTTGTTAGACTGCTTAATTCTCCCATAAAGCTTTTGCCTAAGTACTGATGCTTTCTTAAAGCTCTTTGTCTTTTCCTTACTTCCACCACGAGAAACCCTCACTCAGACTGTTTCCATCAAGTTCTTACTCCTGCTTAGTGTTTCCTGTAGTGGTGGCATGTGCAGAGCAAAGCTGCAGGGAATCTAGAAGATGTTCGGGGCCAGCTGGGATCTACTGTTGGTGCCCTGTTACTGGAGCCCGCCAGAGGTGACCACTCAGACACAGTGTATGACCAACTGAAAATTTTTATTTCAGCCAACCAAGTGTTGGGGAAGACTTTAGGTGTGGCACATGTCCAGAACATGGGGCTTTTAAGAGCAGAGACCTCATCCAGACATCTCACTCGGCAGCTGCAGGGTGCGGGTGTTGCTGGGGGCTCTGTGGTGTAAGCAGTTTGAAGCAAGCATTTTTTTTTTTTTTTTTTTTTTGGTTTTTTTTTTTTTTAAAGACACAAAATAAGCGGTTATCTAGAGAAGGTTCCGCACAAACAAGCAGTTTTAACAAAGGCTAAGATAAGCTAGTTAGGACATCCTGACCTTTGGTTCCTAGAATAGAGTTGGGTGGTTTTCTATGAGATCCTCCATCAAGAAGATAAAATTCTATTTAAACCTGGAAACCACCTCAGCAAGAATACAAGATGGCGGAACCTCTGCTGCTTAAAACCCTCCAAACCATAGCACCTCCATGGCTTCCATGAGGAAGCACGTGTTCTGTGTCCTCCATGGCCTGGTTCACTTAACCTCAGCCACTTAAACAGACACCCATCAGAATGCAGTGTTAGATTCCACCGTCGCTCAGACCCAAGTCCCTGCAGTGACCTTCCCCTCGCACAGATCTGGACATTGTAAATCCCTAGCTAACAGACTTCTAAGTGCCAGGGTCCCACCTGAGGACATGAGTTACATCAGAAGTGGAAATATGGGTGGCCACACATTCCCCACCCCTTTTTCTGTCCCCAACATGGCAGTCAGAGAGCCTGGCTGCAGGCTACACTGGGGAACCATCCCCATCGTAAAAGCTGCCTGCCATGGGGACCCTGATTCTCCTCTTCAGAGCCATCACCATGCTGTCTGTCTGTCTGTCCATGCATTAACACTCAAAAGCCCTTGCCCCCCAACTATCTGTGTCAGTGTCCCCTCGGACCTCATATTTAAGGCCCCTCGACACCTCCTCCTCCCCCACTGTAGACTGTCTGGAGGTCCCTTCCCTTGACCTGTCCCTTTTGTACACTGTTTTATTTCCTTGCGAAGGAGGGAGGCACACAGAGCAGGGGTTGTGAACATGATACGGCCCCTGTGTGCAGGTCAGAAGACAACTCCGGGGAGTTGGTTCTCTCCACCATGTCACAGGTTCAAGGGATCAAACTGAGGCCGGCAGGCTCCTTCATGTGTGCTTGTACCTGCTGAGCCACCCCGTCAGCCCGTGGTTGTCTTTTTTCTTTTTTCTTTTTTTTATGCTGGCTCACTATGAATCCTAGGTTGGTCCGACCTGCATCCTCCTCCCTTACACTCCCAAATGCTGGGGTTACAAGAGTGGGCCACCCGAGTACCACTTATTGAAAGTACTTTACATCGTCTCTCATAACAAAGCCATGATTCCTCCCTCCATTCCTTTTCACTCACAGTGTAATCATGGTCACCATCCTCATTGTCTCTCTGTAGTCTATAGATAGCTTTATCTGTCTAGTGCCATTGAATCCCCATCTCACAGCACAGGACCAGAACCGCGGGAGGCTCAGTAATGGTTGAATGAAGGGCTGAGCAGAGCTGAGCTAGCTAATTTAATCTAGCCAGGCGTACACTGGCTTCAGAGTGCCAGAGACTGACCCCAGCCAAGGTAAAAATGTGTTTGCTATAGACATTCACAATCACTTGTAAAAAGTCTGACTTACAATTCAGAAGGTCACAGGTGCCCTGTCAGGCCAAAATAACCGGAGCAGGGTCTGGTGATGTCTTTTGAGTTAAGTTTTATAGCACATGAATTATGTGTCAGGATTTTCCTTTTTTGTTGTTGTTTTTGAGACAGGATGTCTCTGTATTGCTTTGGAGCCTGTCCTGGAACTAGCTCATGTGGACCAGGCTGGTTCCAAACTCACAGAGATCCACTCGCCTCTGCGCCCCCCCCCCCCCGAGTGCTGGGATTCAAGGCGTGTAACACCACCGCCCCACATAGGATTTTACATTTTTATTTGTTTATGTAGTATGTGTATGTGTGTGCACATGCATGCACTCACATGGGTGGTAGTTAGAGGACAACTTGTGGGAGTCAGTTCTCCCCTCCACTATGTGGGTCCTGTGGATTGAACTTGGGTTATGAGGCTTGGCAGCAAGCACCTTTACTCTCTTAGCCATCTCTGGCCCTATTCCTGGTGTTGTTATTGTTGTTTTAAATCCTGAACTTGGTAGTCAGCTGTGGTGATGCATGACTGTAATCCCAAGACTCGAGAAAGACTGAGTCAGAAGGAGTGCCATGAGTTTAAGTCCAGTCTGGGCTACACAGCAGTAGGCCAGACGGGACTGTATAATAAGGCTTTGTCTCAAACAAAACAGAACAAAACCACAATCCTGAGGAAGAAAGATGTGCTCCAGTGGCGTGTGGATGTCTCTGTCCAGGGGATGGGTGGCAAGGGTTGATGCAGAGGTTGAGGGATTCCAGGGATCAGCCGTTTCTGGGACGTTTTCTAGAGCTCAGTGGACCTGGCCAGCCTTGTGCCAGTGTCCTGCCTGTGGTACTCTGTGGTACTCTGTCTTCCGGAAGCCCCAGCCAGAGCACAGCTGGCCATACGTTGCTTTGGATAGTCAGAAACAGAGTCAAATAGACAGGAATGGAGGTCTCGGGGCTGTCATTCTCTGGGTGTCCTTGCCAATGCTTGGCTTCCCAACACCTGGCTACAGGGCCTGGCTCTTTAGGACCCAGGTGCCATCTCTCCCGTCTCCCTGGTGAAGATCTAGGAAGGCCTGCACAGTTGTGATGTTACCCAGAGCCGTCCTTAGGTTAATTACCCCCTGACTGAATGTTTCCCCTGTTGGTTCCAGGTCGGGCTGGTATACATGTTTAACCTCATTGTGGGCACGGGTGCGCTCACCATGCCCAAGGCCTTTGCCTCCGCCGGGTGGCTCGTCAGCCTCGTCCTGCTGGTATTCCTGGGCTTCATGAGGTAAGAGCTGTGGAGGACGGGACAAGGGTGGGCTGCCGCGTCCTTAGGCTGAGGACAGAACTGGAGGAGTACACCCAGGGAGCCTGAATGTCTCCTAAATAACCCAGAGCTCTTGAGATGCAGGACAATTGCTGTTTCCCACACACATAGGGAAGTGGATCCTAAGCTACCTGGCCCAGAGCAAGGAAAACGGATCCAAGGCCACCAGGGCCTCCTGCTAACTGAACACTCACTCAGCCCTGAGAGCTTGAGCCAAGACACCAGGAGGCCTTAGGCTATCCCACCTGGTTCTGGCCAGCTAGCCCAGGCAGGCTCAGCTTCCCTGTAGTCAATTTTATCTCTGTAACTGTCAGTCCTTGCTCTGAGAAAACAGCACCTAGCCACTCTAGCGGGACCTGAAGGCTGGCTGGGGAATCCGTGTGCTGTTTAGGATTTGCTTAAAATAATTCACCAAGTAAATGAAAAGCACCCAGGCACACACATATATACATGTACACACACACACACACACACACACACACACACACACACACACACACTGGGGCAGTCAGTTTTTTGGTTTTTTTTTTTTTTTCTTCTTATTTTACATATTGATCCTAGTTCATGGCAGTCAGTTTTTAAGGACCTGTCTTGTGTCCACCCCACCTGCCCAGGCCCCCAGGGACACTTGCTTTGTCAGCCAGATGTCAGCCCCAGAGCAGACAGAGCTGCCTCTCAGGAATCCCAGTATCACTCAGAAGTCCCATGAGAGTGGGGCTTCAGGGGCAAGTCTCCCCCTCCCCCCCAGGAATCCATGTTAGAGATCTGGGAGAGACACTGGCTCAGCCGTTCAGGGCACTTGTTGCTCTTGCTGAGGACCTGGGTTCGGTTCCCAGCACCTGCACAGTGGCTAACAACCTTCTGCAATTCCTGTTCAGAGGATCCGATGTTCTCACCTCCATGGGCAGTGCAGTTTTTATGGTGCACGTGCATACATGCTGGCAAAAAAAAAAAAAAAAAAAAAAAAAAAAGATAAATAAATAAAAATTTAAAAATATAAAAAAAAATAAATAAAAACCATAAAAAATAAAATAAATATTAAAAACAGAAGGAGCTTAGGTGTGGTGGTGCACACGTGTGATCCCAGCCCTGGGGTGTGGGGCAGCTGCAGGATGACCAGGGGTAGAAGGTCACCCTCAGCTACAGAGTAGATGCCCCCCAAAAAAAGCGGGAGGGAAACTTGGAGCCCTTGCACACTTGACCACATCATGGGCGGGGATGGCGTAGGGATGGCCACCCATAAGTTGTAGAGCAAGCTGCAAGTTGATAAGAGAAAAAGATAAAGCATGGCCCAAGAGGGGCTTGGGGGGGGAGACCGAGGGGGAGGGGTGTGAGGGCTGCAACATTAAAGATTTGACAGGAAGGATTATCCAGAAAGAATGAAACAAAGGTAAAAGCTGGGCTAAACAGACCCAGAAGAGGCTCATGGGAGGGGCTCACATCCACCAAGGTTTTGAGCTCCTCTGTGCACTTACTTTGGGGAACCTTGGGGTGAACCTCAGAGTACTGTTGGCTCATTATGTACTTCCTGCCCTGGTCTTCGTCCTTATGTCTCTGTGTCCCCTTTAATGGCCCTTCAGCACGGGCACCATCTGAATGGGAAGTGATAGCTGGAGGACCCCAGGTAGGAGCCGCCATGCCCCCCTGTCCGCTAAGCCCATTTATGTTTGAATGTGATCAATGAGATGGCTTTGTGCAACCATAAGAAGCGTTCTTATGTCTAATTGAGATTGATTTCAGTTTTGCTTCCAATAAGACATGGAAATGTGGAGTCCTTAGAAGATTCGGTTAGGCTAGACAATGAGAATCCTTTCTGGGGCTTCTTCAGGCTTGGCTGCCCCATCTTCCATCCCTTACCCTCTGTTGGAGGGATGCAGGCTTAACTCTGAGCAGCTCAGCAGATCCTTTCCCACCCGACACGCAGGGCTGAGCATTTACTGCTAGCTGATGTCAGTATCGGAGGGTATGGGGACACAGTTGTGCTGGCCTCAAAAACAGGGAAACGGATGTTGGCCCAAGTAGATCTATGTCCCAGGTTTCAGCAGCTGAAGGCATCACCCTGTATCTCCTGCAGATGGGAGCACAGTGCATTCCAGCTGCCCTGTAGGGTGGGCAAGTGTCTGGTACCGTTTCCCAGTCTCCCCTTAGAGAAACAGGAATACCGGCTTATTTAAAGATGAGCCATGTTATTTAGGCATCTCCAGTCATCCATCCCCCATGGCCCTCACATTAATGTGTGACAGAAAGTTGGCCACTGGTCTGTGTTCTCGAAAGAAATGAAAGTTGCCTGGCATCCTTCCAGAAGCTCTAAGAGGCCCCCTTGTGAGTCAGCCCGCCTCCTCGGAGCACCATTTAGCAGGCCCTTTCTGGATAACAGTGCAGCATCACCCACAACCCCAGCTTGGGGTTACTGTTGCTGCGATGAAACACTACGATCAAAGCAAGTTGAGGGGAAAGAGTTTACACTTCCACATCGCAGTTCATCACTGAAGGAAGTAAGGACAGCAACTAAGTAGGACAGGAACCCTAGGCAGGAGCTGGCGCAGAGGCCATGGAGGGTGCTGCTCACTGACTTGCTCAGCCTGCTCTCTTATGAAACCCAGGACCTGCTTTCTTATAGAACCAACCCAAGGATGGCATCACCCTCAATGGACTGGGTCCTCCCCTATCAATACTAATTTTAAAAAATGTCCTATGGGGACTGGAGAGATGGTTCAGAGGTTAAGAGCACTGGCTGCTCTTCCAGAGAATCAGGGATCATTTCCCAGCATGTACCCACATCGGCAGCTCACAGCTGTCTGTAACTCCAGTTCCAGGCCGTCTGACACCCTCACACAGACACACATGCAGGCAAAACACCAATGCACATGAAATAAAAGTAAGTAAATTATTTTGAAAAGGAACGTGCACTATGCCAGACCTTATGCAGGCATTTTCTCACTCGAGGCCCCCCTTTCAGTTAGCTCAGCTTGTGTCAAGGTGACATAAAACCATCCAGCACACCTGCCACCAGCTCCTTTCGTCCTCTCTCTCCTGTGCATTGGAGATAGGTTCTGGTGTGGGAGGCGACTTTAAGGAAAGCAAAGCATTTGCTGTGTGCAACAACACTTTAACCTCCTTTTACGTTTATTTCGTCTGTGTGTGAGCGCGCACGTCCCTGTAGGAATGGGTTTTCTCTTTCCATCGGGCGGGCCCCTGTGGTCAACCTAGATTGTCAAGCTTGGCAGCAAGCACCTGTGCCCAATGAGCCATCTTACTGGCCCAAAACCATGAGGTCTGACCAAGGAGTACCATTCCAGAATTTCTGTAGGGAACAGCTGTCAGAGGAGAGAATGCTGTGGGTTTGTTGCTTGGCTCAAATTGTACTTCCTGCAAGCTTTCCATGTCATTAACATGTGGCATCACCCTCAGCTTTGTGACAACCACCTTTGTGATGGAGGCCATGGCTGCAGCCAACGCCCAGCTCCGCTGGAAGAGAATGGAGACCCACAAGGTGTGTGCATTGCCCTCGTCCTCAGTGGCACATCTGTTGCGTACCCGAGGCAGTCAGTTGGTAGACTTCTCTCCAGCAGCCCTGCCCCAAGTTTCAGGACCACAGCTAAGTAGCCACATAAAAGCCCAAGGGACACACACAGTGGCTGCTGTATCAGCACTGTAACCCGGGTCCCCAACACAGCCGCCTGGAGTGACTCAGCCATTCTGAACCTTTGTCCCAGGAACTCTGCTGTCTCTGCCTTTTGGTGTGACAGGAGTCTCTCCATCCTGGAGAGAATGCGCTGGAAGGGCTACTGTTGACTGGTATTTCTAGCACTGTGCACTCATCTCTCTTCCTGTCTCTTCCTCCTCTCCATCCTACTGCCTCCCAGGAAGAGGAAGACGAAGACTCCTCCACAGCCTCAGACAGTGACATCCTCACCCAAGACAACTATGAGCGGGCAGAGAAGCGGCCCATCCTGTCTGTGCGTAAGTCCTGGGCTGCTGGGTAAACTGCACCCTTCTCCCTGGTCAGCAGGGCTCCCTGTGTCTGTAGAGAGGTCCCTGGGGAGTCTCCCTGCAGCCATCCTCTGGAGTGTCAGTTGAGAAGGCCCGCGGGGTACAGATGCTGAGCATAAGCCTGGCCTCCCCTGGCTCTGCCTTCCTTGCCTGTGTAACTTGGCAATTACCTGAGCTCTGTGTCTCAGTTTCCCGCCCTTCTCTTACTGAAACAGGCAGGGTCTGCCTGGGTCCGTGTGCTTCTCTGGCTTCATCCTCTCACACATACCCACTCCCGCCCAACACACATACCCTTACCTCCCTGCCTCAGCCCTGTGCTGCTCAGGGTGCGGGGCACCTGCTGTCCGTGCCCCCCCCCCCCCAGGAGCATACCTGACTCTTAGATTTGGTGCTGGGATGCAGCTTCTAACTGGCGTGCATGGGGACCCAGCAGTGAGGGCAGAAAAAGTTTCAAGAGTCGGAGAAGCTTGGAGGTTGACTTGTTCTAAAGAATTCCCAGGGCTCTAGCAGCCCCCGCCTGGGGCTCTTCCGGTGAACAACCAGGTCCCTCTCTGCTCTGACCCCACAGAGAGACGTTCCTCAGCCAACCTTTTTGAAATCACAGACCGGGTGGAAATGGGGCAGATGGCTTCCATGTTCTTCAATAAAGGTAACAGTCATTCTGGGGGTTTGTGTGCGGGACAGGGGCACATGTGACCTTGCCGAACTCCTGGCCTTTGTAGTGGGGATTCCGTGTTGAAGGCTAGGGCAGATGGGTGTGAGCTGAGCACCAGAGGAGCCGTCTTGCTGCAAGGCCTGACCTGCTCCCCATTATCTTCCTGGGGTTCCTCACTGTCCACTGACCTGAAGAATAAGGGTCATGCATCCAACTAGTACAGGTCCTAGGTCACTTTCCAGAGAAAGAAGCCAGTGGCACACAGCCCTAGTGTTTGCCACATACAGCTGCAGCCAGCAGAGGGCGCTAGGAGCCCACACCGGAATTGCCCAGTGATCCAGCACTGGCGAGCTGAGGCTCCATGACCCTGAGGGTCCCCTGCCTGTTCCTGGCTGGCATTTGCCACAACTGCAGGTGTCCACCTGACTCCAGTATCTGCCAGTGGGCCTTTTCTGTCTCTGTTGTAAATCCTATTTCTTCATTTTTACTTATTTATTTAGTTATGAAAATGGGCTGTTTTCAGAGTTTAATATTTAGTGCCCAAAACTATGCTGTGCCTACTTCCTTGGGCACCAAGCACAGCCTCTATGCTTAGATTTTTTTTTCCCTTTGCAAAGTCTCCCCATCTGCCCAGTGGAGTATCTCTGCCAGTTCTTTCTGGTCCTGAGCATGGCTGTGGAGAAAGGGAAGGATTGGAGAAATGGGGATCTCCTTGACTTGGGACTAACAGCAAGCACTGGGTTTGTCAGCAGAGGAGCAGACTGGTCACTGATCCCGGAAAGGTGATCATGGGCACAGGCTGGCTGAGGCCGGCTCCAGCGACCTTTGTGGGCCAGCCTGGCAGAGGGTTTCCACAATTCATCAGAGCCAGCTTGGCTGTGTTCAGGCCCACTCTTGGATCTTTCCTCTGCTCCGTTTCTGTCACCCACCATCCACTGAGGGACAGTGCACAAGCGTCCCCTCCTGGCAGCCACTCAGAGGCCTCCTCCAAATCCGGGCTTGAAAAACAGCTGCCTTGCTCATCAGTACGTTCTGTGCCGTGTGCACATGTCTGTCTGCGTTCGTGTGTATTGAGTGTGCATGCACATGTGTGCACAGCTGGAGAGGCCAGAAGCTGACATCAGGGTCTCCCTCCTTCCCTCTCTCCCCTCCTTGGATTTTAGACAGGGTCTCGCACTGACCCTGTGGACCCGGAACTTACCTGTTCATCTAGGCTGACAGGCAACCCTCCTGCCTCCGTGTCCCCAGCACTAGGGTTACAGGAGCTTGTCTGGCTTTTTTTTTTTTTTTTTTTTTTTTTTCCTCCCCTGGGATATTGGGGATCTGAACTCAGGTCCCCATGCCCCTGCCCTGATTTCTGTAAAATTCCTATGCACTTGTGGTTTGTTTTGTCTTGTTTGCCCAAGTCTCATATAAAGTAGCACATTTGTGTGGAAGCAGCCCCAGCTGTTGAAGAGCCTCTCCAGTCGCTCCTGCAGGACTTCTCAGGCCCAGCACTGGTGGTGGCATTGGGTGTCCTCTGTGAGAGGTGGGCTGCAGGCCCACCCCTGTTCGGTGACAGACCATCAGGTTGTTCTCGTCACCTTGGGCAGACAAAAGGCTTCCCAGAGTTCCATACTGGTTTCTTGTAATTAGCAATGTCTTGCCCAGACATTAGTGCCCTCTCAGGACGTTCACTGACCCCCGACTTTGTGTCTAGTAATGAAATTTTATTGATCATGGAGGGCTGATGGCAGTTCATAAACAACCAACGCTGTAGCAGTTGGCGGGTGGCGGTACGGGGTGGGGAGGAGGCGATGCCTTCTCACAGAGACTATAGGCATCAGAGAGGAAACACAGGCTGCTGTGGGTATACCTAGAGCCTGGGGTCATGGATAGCAGACAGCCCCCGGAGGCCTCAAGCCATATCAGGGTCAGGTGAGGGAGTGACACTTGTCCTCAGAGAAGCCAGGCGCCTAAGATTGGTGCCATGCAAGTTTGGAGCTGATTGTGTGGATCGTGACTCTTAGGTGTCAGCCCCAACAGTCAGTACCTAAGCTTCCCCAGTAGCCAGGGCCTATGCTTTCCCTGAAGCCAGGGCCTAAGAATCAGCCTGGATCTTTGAACCCAAACCCATTTCCTTTCTTATGTCTTTATGTGTTGATTTTGTTTGAGGGGGCATGTGTGGGGGACGTGGGACAACCTGCTGAGATTGGCCCTACCCTTCCACCATGTAGACTTCAGGGATCAAACTCAGCCCCTTGGGCATGGTGGCGGCAAGCAAAGTGCCCTTACCCGCCGAGCCATCTCTCTCGCCCTACCAGTGTGGATTTGATCCCTCTCTCTGATCTCCGGGCCTTGCTGAGCTCTCTCAGGCACCAGCCCCAAGCTGATGCATCTCCTGCCAGCTGCACAGCGCAGCCAGCTGGAACTGGAATAGGAAACAGGAGTTTGGGGTCACCCCCACCCCACACACACACCTTTTGTAGAAGGCAAATGGCCTAAAGATCCGAGAGCAGCGGAAGCGGCAAAGACTCAGCCATCAAAAAGGCGCGCAGCCGCGTCTGCCTCTGGCCCCCTGACCTGTGGCTCTGTTGCTTTCAGTGGGGGTCAACTTGTTCTATTTCTGCATCATCGTTTACCTGTACGGAGACCTCGCCATCTACGCCGCAGCTGTGCCCTTCTCCCTCATGCAGGTGACCTGGTGAGTAGCCCCTCATCATCCACACTGGTTGCGGACCCACCAGCCTCCTGCACTAGCAGGGCACAGGGTCTTCTGTGGAAGCACAGTCCTAAACCTCACAGCTACGGCACAGCACGCCTGAGGTCCTTCCTTCTCCACATGCAAGGGGCCAGCTGTACCCTCTGCCCCCACCAGGCACGTTCTGTGCCATGCTGTCCCCTTTCCTGTCCCTCCGAGCCATGGTGCTGCATGATGCATGAGCTGGTGCGGCCTGGCCTGGACACAGTTGACGGGGAATGGGAGTGTAGGCCCGTGGTCCCTCCTAGTGCTGAGCCAGGTTTGCCCATTGCTCTCTTCAGCAGTGTGTCTGGGAACGACTCCTGCGGTGTGGACACAGACGCCAAATACAACGACACTGACCCGTGCTGGGGGTCCCTGCGCCGGGTGGATGCCTACCGGATCTATCTGGTGAGTGTGCTTTCCTGACCTGGGGCACACCAGGCCAGCATGAGTGGCAGAAAGTGTTTGAACCACCTTCCTTGTCTGTGTCAGTCCTTTCTCCAGACAGGAGTGAGTCTTGCACACTGCCACGCTCTGGCCCGGAGTGAGGTCTTAGCCTCAGGGTCAAAGGTGGCTTGGAATGGTTCTCCGGGTCCAAGCCAACAGATAGCTGTGAGCTTGCGCCGCAGTTCGAGGGGTACCTGCAAAAGTCTTGCGTTCCAGAGACTTTCCGGATCCTGGCCTCACTCCAGGCCAGCTTGGGCAGGGGCACACAAGCAGGTCCTGGGTCTCGTGACCAGGATAGACAAGACTTGTTCATCATCTAGGTGACCCTGACCACAGACAGCCTCTCCAGATGGGTTGGGCTCAGCCCAGCCTTCTTTTTGTCTTCCCATGGGTGAGGGAAGAGGATGAATCGCCTGCCTCACTCTTGATTGCTTTGTGCTGGGGCATGGTGGGGGTGGGGCTGACTAATACTCCAGACAGGCCTCAGATAATAGGACGACAAGGCACCAGAGGCAATTTGTCTCTGCCTGCTTCAGAGGCGGGCTCGGGAGTGTTGCCCGCCAGCTTTTACAGCATCTCTTAGTCCTTTCTGCCTCCACTTGGTTCTTCTCAGCCTTGGGGCATGGTCAGGTATGCTGGATGCCACTCAGTCCTGACCCTAGCGGCTTTCCTGGATGTGAAGGCGTGAGAAGGCTCTCTGTCCGTAGCCTGTGCGCTTGGGTCAACCCTGTCCCAGCTCAGGGCTCCCTGGACCCTGTCAGCTGTGTTGCCGGGGTCTGGACTTAGTAATCCCAAGGGCTACTGAATGGGTTTCATGTTTCCAGCCTAGTAGGCTCCCGAAGGCGCCTGCAGGCTTGGGCTCAGGAGATGTGTCTCCTCTGTTTCTGTAGCTGCCGCGCCATGGTCTGTTTCTCTGGGGTATGCGGCCCTCAATAGGACTTTGTGCGGTGGTAGAATTTCATTCTTGATCCTCCTGTTGAAAGCCCGGCAGCTGTTTGATAGCAAGTTGAATCATCCGGTTCCCGGGTCCACCGTGGGAGTGGGCGCAGGAACCCGCCAGGCAGCCAGGCGCCAAAGCAGGTTCAGCTGAAGTTTCGTTAGCCTCTTAGCATCTCAATATGCCATGACTGAGGCCCCTCTGGATTGGCTCCTCTCCAGGTGTAGGGAGCAGGAGAATGAGGAAGGTGGCTGGGTGCTCCAGGGAGGAGTCACAGCAGCTGAGCTGTTCTGGTGGGTCCACATCCCTCCACCCTGAAGCACAGTGGCACTGAGCACGGGGGTATGGCTGCTGCCACTTGCTTGGTGAATTATTCAGAAGAATTGTTATTGCCGTGTTAATTTGTTCCTTCGGTCTTTTCTGGAAGCCTTCCACATGATAGAAGTCCCCTCCCTGAGTCTCAATAACTTCACTGACTGACAGAGCAGAAGGAACCCTCTGGAAAGCAGAGGGGCTGTGATTACTGCCTGCATCTCCCAGATAGTGCACTTATAACTCATGGAACTGGTTTTCTGGTGCCTGCAAGTGCTCCAGCCTGAGAGCAGGAAGGAGAAGACAGATGTCTGTCTGTCCCTCCCCCTTCCCCCCTATAATCCCCTCCCCCAAGGAGCTAGAAGAGACATAACAAAGATGCTGGCATCTTTCCTCGGGCCTGAGTCTCCTGGCAGACAATCAGAGCATCTTTCCCTCCCAACTGAGGAGAACTAGACCCTTGCAAGTAGCCTCTTTGGATCTCAGAAGTAGGGCAGACATCCTCTAACCTGGCCCCTCGTCACTTAAGGTCAGGTGGTCCATCCCTTCTCAAGGCTCCAGCATGCCTCTCAACCCAGCTGGTCTGATTTTGCGGCTCATTGGGGTCCACCCAAGTTGTTACCAGGGTAGCAAGCAGTGGGAGTAGACAGAAGCACCCTCCTACCCCACGCATAAGCCATCTCAGGATCTCAGGTAGATGCTGCCCTCCACGGCCTGCGTCTTTAAAAGGACTATGTAACAACTGTATCTTCATTGCTATTCTGGAACAGTACGTTCTGTGGGATAAAGAAACAGGCTTTTATATTGTGGCTTAATTTGCAGACAGTCCTGTGGAAAGCAGCTCAGGAAAGCCCCCGAGAGGCACACAGAGAGTGAGAATAGGTGGGAATATTAACTGCCTCCGAGACCGGCCCGTGGGTAGCATCTGATGACGCCAACCAGGGAGCTTTCTCCTTCAGCAGCTACCAGTTGCCTCCCAAAGCCCTTCCCTTAAGAGGTGGAACATTCCTCCTCCCTTCCCAGGGTCCATGGTGGCCCCCAGCCATTTCCCATGATTCCCAGTTTCTCCTTTTCACCCCTATGTTGTCCTTGGAGTGGGGTGCTGGGGGTCCCCTGTATCACCTGCTGCTTCAGGTGCACCCAGGAGTCTTGACCTGCCACCACAGCAGCAACCTGCTGCCTGGGTCCTCGGGCCCCCTTTCCCTGCTCCTCTGAAAGACCTTGCCCCTGCACGGGTGTCCTAGTGATGGCTCTGAGAGGGAGGGGCGAGAGCCATATGTGGCAGGGACTAGAAGGAATGAACGTCCAGCCAGGTTGAGAATACGGCTCAGTGGGTAGAGAGAGGACCGGAGTGAAGGCATCTAGTGCCAGTGTGAAAACCAGTGTCAGAGGCGAGCGCATCTACCCCCAGTGCCGGGCCAGGATCGCGCAGGCTGGGGAGCAGGAAGACCGCAGGGGCTCATGGCCAGCTGTCTAGCCAAAACAGTGAGCTCCAAATTGAGCAAGAAACCCTGCCTCAGAAAATAAGGTGGAGGTTGATGCCCGAGACATGTGACTGATACGGGAGCACGTCACTGGCTTTCGCATGCTCACATACAAGTGGGTACACCCTCACATGCATGCACTGTACACACCTAAGAAGAGAAGAACGTGCCACTCTGATTCTGTGCCACCGTGCCGGGCAGCCAGGGTCCCAGAGAAGCAATGGGATCACATGTGACCAAGTCCTGCCCCAGGGCCGCTCTACTCCGGTTCCTGCAGCACTTCCAGCCTGCCCCATGTCCTGGTTCTTCATCCGGCACCATCCCTCCTCCCACAGGCCATCACGGGTGGGGGGGGGAGGAGCCAAAACCTGGCAGCATCCACCACTTCAGGTGGGCAGATGCTGCAGGTCACAGGCATCAACAGGCACCGGCCCAACAGACTCAGGACGCAGATGGCAGAGTAGAGTTTAGCCTGCTGGGGACCCAGCCACAAACTGGCCATGTTGGGGAGGGAAGGAGGACTTGGGACAGGACAAGGTGACCCCAGTTCGCTCTCAGCAGAAGTTGTGAGATCCACCTCTGGTGCAGTTGACCGGGAGGAGAGATGTAGCCGATTCACAACTGGCAGGTCCCCTGCATCCTCCCTCCAGACACACCCCTGGAGAAGAGGCAGGAGCTCAGCTTCTTCCTAGAAGAGCAGGTCACCCTGCCAGGTTACATTAGGGGGTTCCTCCGAGCCTTTTCAAGAGCCCCGCCCACTCCTTCTGATTGCCCCATGCTGTAGCCCTTTGTCTGTCTGTGGCATTTAAAACAGCACCACTTAGTTCCTCTTTTCAACCCAAATGTTTCTTCCTAGAATGTTGAAGGCACACACAGGCAAGGACACTGTGTCCTCTTCACGAGTGTGCGAGACCCCCGCAGCCAGGTTCTGAGGGTTCTGTGTCTCAGCTCGCCTGCCTCGTCTGTGTGAGGCTGCTTTGTTGTTGGATCTCAGGGCACTGTTTTGTTTTGTCACTAGGGGCTCTAGTAGCCTCCGCTGTCTTTGAACTCACCACTTTACCAAACCTGGTCTTAACTCCTCCTGCCTCCTCCTCCCCAGTGCTGGGAGTGATCCACCACACCTGACTTAGGCATGCAGTGTTAGCAGTGGCTTCTGTGGGTCTGGCTTGGGCCTCCCAGTCACACCATCAAGTTCATGCTGTCATCCCAAAGAGTGGCTTCCTCAGGCTCCCCAGACATCCTGGCACAGCAGGCTATCCTCAGGTCCCTGGCTGTGCCGCACCCACGCACAGCTTGGGGAATACCAGCCTGCCAGCCCCACAACATGGCCTCTGCCGGGAGCTGGGCTGCACTGGTCTGGCCCTCCTGTTGATTTTGAGGTGTTCTCTCACATGCTGGCACTTGTTCCCAGGGAGCAAAGTGGACTTTTCCTAATACCTCAAGTAAGGTTGGAAGTGAGCCTCTTCCCAAGGACATTCCCTTCCGCTGCTTTGTACTTTCAACATCAGCCATTGTGCCCTGGGGCTGTCTAGCATCTGCTAATAAGTGGGTCACCGCTACCATCCCTTGAATATTCATCCTTACCCATTCTGGGGCAGGAGGTGGCCTAGAGGCCTCCAGGACCAGTGAGAAAGGGACATTAACAAGAAGCATAAGTCTTGGGAGCAGCAGCAGCAATGTCACAGGACCCGGCTGCTCTCCAGGTCACCAAGCTGAGCCTTCAGGCTGTCACATGCTCAGGCCGAGCAAAACTGCAGGAGATGGGTGGGTGCTACGTCCCCCTCCCCCCCCCATGCTGTGCAGACCCTGGATGGAAACATGGGAGACAGGAAAGGGAGAGTCCTCTCTTGGGATGACTGGGTAAGATCTCTGATGAGGCCATCTGTGAAAGATCCCAAAGGGTTAAAAACCGAATGGCCAGAAAATCTGGCAACCTGGTGAGGGGTGTCTCTGGGGAGCATCCTTCATCCCCTCACACCTTCACATCAAACTCCCACTGACCCAGCATCAAACCAGACCCAGTCGGGGCGATTCCTGGTGCCTGAGGTGGCAAGGGCAGGGCTTATAGGCTGAGGGACACCAGTCTCCTCTCCTCCCCCTCCCAGCATGCCTTTAGGCAGCACCATCGCCTTCAGTCCGTGCGCTACATACTTGGGTTTGTCACACCCAGGTGGCCTTGAAGGTTCCAGCAGAGCTGTCTTGACCAAACCCAGTCCTGTAACTCAGAG